GCATTTTGTCTCCGGAAAATTTTACTCTTAACCTGTCACTTGCTGAGAAGGCCAAATCTAAAGGAAGTGGTTTGGGGTGGGGGGGGGGGGGGGAGGTTGGGGGAGGTGTGGGCGGTGTGGCGACTTCGCCGCACGTGATCGTGGAGCGTTTGCCGAGCTCCCGCGTGTAGCCCAGCGTCCACGGATTGACGGTGGGGTGGGTGGGGGGCGGTTGATCCAACCGTGAAGTCGCCCGGCGAACCTTGGGGCGTGGGAAGACGGAGGCGCCGAGGGAGAGGGACGGCCGGGGTTGAAGGTGCTCGTACCGAACACTGCGTGTGAGCCCCAGGCGAGGCTGATGCAGCCTGTGTGGTTTGTGTATCGGCACCACCTCAACGTTGCGCCTCCCCCCCCGGCTTCTCATCCTCAAGCTTTTTTTACGGATGGGAGTCGCCCGGCCTGCCCCCAACGCGTTACACATGTACCCTTTGGAACCGCTCCTGCACAACTTTCACTGCTTTTGTCGGCAAGGAAACAGACGACGGGGGGGGGCGGGGGGGGGAACCCCATCCACGTGCACATGGCGCGTATATATATAACAGTGATGGACGTGCATGTCCTGGGATGCTGGGTTGGGCTTCAAATGTTCAAATGTAGATTCGCACCCCCCGCACCTCACCCCTTCTGAGGGCTGGCAGAATTTAGCAGCAGGAGGTGCTTAGAGATCGAGGTCATATCTCAAGTTTGGCGTTGAAGCAGAATGTTTAGGGGTCTTTTTTAGGGTTTGGGGACTTGGGGATTTAAATAACGGGAATATAGGACATTGCTCAGAACCACGCATGCCTAAACTAGTTTAGTATCAAAAGTCGAAGTGGTGGGAGTGGTTGGGAGTCTTGTAAGTGGGAATGGGAGGGGTTGGGGGTTACCAATAATTGCTCAAGTGGAGGCCCCAGTGATGAATTGAGCAAGTCCTTTGCAGGCCCTCGGCACCCAGCAACAGCAATTTTAGGTCGCTAAATGCGTGGCTGTGAACCCAGCAAGGAAGCCTCCGCGTTGGATTGGATTCATCATACGAGTTCTGCACGCCACTTTGGGAGTGCAGACCTTTTCGCCCTTTAGCTCGCGCTCATTTATTCAGGTGTTATTTTTACCATTTGTCAGTCGAGTAATATTACTTCGAATGAACCGTATTGGTTTCACGTGTGGACCTGTTGCCGATTTCATCACGAATGACGTCGCAACTCGCGCTGCCATTACTAATTCATACTTTATTTTTTTCCCCGTATGCTTTTGGTTTAGATGGAGATTGTGTCGCTCGAGCTGTACTTATATTGTTTGAATTATCATTGAATTGTAATGATTTCAATTGCATTTGAATATCAATCCTAATTGTTATTATTGGGTGGCTTTTTTATTTTATTTCTACCCTGGCGGGGCCACTTCTTGCCGATGTCATGGACGGCATGGGTGTTTGCGAGGGAGTTTAAACAAGCGTTTTCGTGCTAGGCCCAGATGTTAGTACTTGTAGTAGCTCTGTGATGCAGCAAAGAGAAATGAACGATGGGGAGGTGATATTAATTTTCCCATGTTTAGAAATCAATTTCCTGAATTATTTCGCTTATAAAACATGAGTGAAAAATACTGATTCACACTCTAGTGCTCTCTGGGGTGTGGTGGAGAATTGAGTGTGTGAGGTGGAGTCATTTTACTCATTTGGAAGGAATCGGTGATTCATTCCAATGTATCATTAATTTTTATATCTTCAAGCCTTTTATTAAACGATGAACACTGCTACCAATTACGTGCATTTCGGTATTTATGCTTGAATTAATGCACACACATAGTGTTTATGTTACCAACACTTACCAATACACATCGTTGGTGTAAAGGAGCAGATATAAAATTACTTGAAGTCAATTATTAGCCAAGGGTGCATAGACCATTGGTTATAAGTCACGGGGAAGCTCTCCCATTGGTCAAGTGTGTGTACCACGGACTTTGAGTATCAAACTATAATCCTGTCCCAAATGAACGATGCCCAATGGGGAACGATTTAGAGAATTGATTACTAAATACAGGGAAGTTAAGTTTCCGTTAAATGCTTTATTAACATCAAGGCAATAGCAGCCCGTGGTGGCTTGGGGAATCTCCACTTCACTCGGTCTGTCCACCCGTGTTCAGCGTAAACGCACGTTTTTTTTTTGCCTTTTCAGATGTGATCATCGATGGCCGTCTCGTAGTTTAGCGAAGGATAATTTATTCATTGTTGCCAGCTCATTACTTACTAAATGTGTGAACACTTTGTAAGTCCTTTAAGTTAGCTCCACAGTACAGTATTGACGAAATCACTTTTGCTTAAAATGAAAACATTCAAACACATGTTACAATTTTCAGATTTTATACATAAAATGTACGTATAAAAAATATATAAAAAAAGAGAATTACAGGCTGGTGCTTTTAATAATTTAGGATTTTAAGAAAATCGCTTGTGCCTTAGTGCTAGATTTTTTGGTTCGGCCAATGTACTAGTTTTTGTACCCCCCGCAAGCAGCATGATGTGATTAAAATGCATTTAAACAGGAGTTGTGCTCCCACCTGTATGTAATTGCATCATTACAATTGTAGAAGTGCGTTTCTGTAATTAAGTTTTAAACAACTGAATTAATACATATGTTCCTGCAATGCAGCCGCCACGAATTCCATAAATATCGAAAGAAGTTTAGTGCTGTCCTGCTCACATGAGCACTCTTTTACAGTCCTTAGCCAGCTGTAGGAAATTCCACATTCCATTCACGGCGGGGGGGGGGGGGGGTATCTATAGGGCAATTAATGTTGACTTCCCCACAAAATGGTATGAATTTCATCGACCCCGTAGGGACGATGGGCTAGGTTAACTCTAAAATCACAATTTGAACTCGCAACTTTCCAATTGCGAGCCACTCGCTCTACCGCTAAGCCACATCACTCCTGCACAGTACTGGCTGTTATAACATTGGTTAGGCCAAAGGTCGTCAGAAGTAATGAAGTGGTTCCGTTACTGATATTTTAAAAACACTTTAAATTTAGGAGACCTAATGTTTGTGTTTGCAGGCGGGGAATTTTTGTGCAAATGTTTGGTGGCGAAAAGCCACAATTTGTGCCAATTTGACATCTTTTTTTCAGCCACACGAATCGGGCTCTGCTTTTTTTTAAACTCCACCATGGCGCAAGATCATTTTGACCGTCATGTACAAATGTCTTCGACAAGGACTGCATTTTAACGGAAGTTTGCAAACGTTAAAAAAAAACACAGGCTGCAGTGGGGCCGGATACACGGCTGTGTTGGAATTCCTGCTGCGGGGTGTTCAGTGGTTAAGCCACTGCGGGGCAGTATGGTCTTACGAAACGACCGCGTGTGGTTGGCCGCGTTCACCCGGCAGGAACATGGGGCGGGATTTGTTTGTGTGTGTGTGTGCGCAGGTGTGTTTAAGTCGCCGTCTGTTTTAAGATTGACTACCCCCCCCCGTCACCCCCTCCCCCGGAGGTGCAGTTTTCTCGCACCAGGTAAACGCCGCCTTTATCACAGCGCCACCTGTGCGGCATCGCTTACAAACAAACGCGGCGCTGCCACGCGTTGAACGGGGGACCTCCAGAGAGGGCCGTGGGACAGGAAGGCAAACATTTCGCAAATGTGGAATCCACCACCGTGCTAAAACGGGGGTTCTGCGGGGCCCGCTTTCTGTAAACAAACCCCTGTTTATGGTCTCCTTGGGAAATGGATTTCAAAATAGCGACGAAGCCACCACGGGTTGAATTGCAACTGCTGCACTCGCACGGACTGAGCGCCGTTTCCCCCTCGGGCGAACGGCCGGTGGCAATAATGCCGCGGTAAGATCAACACGGAGATATATCCAGCGCATTGATGCAAACGGCGTTTGTGCCAACCGCGTTACATGGGAGTTGGACATGTGATTTATTGAAAACGTGATTTTTTTCACAAGTTAAATATTGGCGAATGCAAACGAGCCCTACATGAACGAGATTTGCTTGTGCAAGATTTATTTTACGTGCTGCATTTTCTAAAGCTTGTTTCTATATATAAAAAAAAATGTTTATACAGCAGTCTTGTCTTAACATGTCATCAGGTTGATTATTAACAATGTCTTTAATGCACCACGTAAGCGGGAATTACACGCGGAACGTTTGCACGGCTAACTTGGGTGTTGCACATGAACCCTTTCCTCAACCTGGCTCGGTGTTGAGTCTAAAGTCCAGAAACAAATTCCACACCAATCCAGTAAAAGCTACCACTAACTTTCCCTCACTCCAAAATGTTGTTGGACCAAGTTTCATTCCAATGCTTAAGCCGCTTTTATTTGAGATTCAACACGAATGATAGACTTGAGCCTCCTCTTTTCCACAGCAAGAAACCCCCAAAAACGCGACCAATAGATATCCGTACAACAAATGTTCATTACATCTATTTTCCATTTTGAGCATTAACGTGTTTTGGGTGGTTTTTATTTGTCTTCTCCAGGCGGACACCCGGGGCAGGTTGTAATAATACGGTGTTTTTAAAAACATGGGACCCAATTTCAAAGCAGTATATTTCACGATGGCAACATGTTATAATTACACAAAAAGTTACAAACGGTTTAATGAGTTATCAAGTTTTACTAATCATTTTATAAATGCTCTATGTGCCATTCACCTGCTGTAAGGACAACATCGAGACGATAGTTGAATTAGTCCCAAACGCCTCTCAAAGTGAAGTCTTCTTCCACTGAAGTCACCGCTGACGTGAATCTGTTTTTGAGGTCATCCAGATTAGTCGCTAATGGTGGCACAAAAACACCACGGGTCTTTGACGTATCCCCACAAGAAAAAGTCGCAGGGTGATGTCTGGGGATCTTGGGGGCCAAGAGTGTAGCGCCAAGTCTAGGGGTCCCGTGGGACCTATCCAACGTTGAGGCAGTGTGTCTTTTGCGAATGACTGAGGCTAGGGGCTGTTTGTGCGCTGGGAGAGGCATCGAGCGGTAATCATTTGAAACTCTCTGCCCCGCCTTTTCAAGTGGTAAGAGTTTCATTCATGGGCGGTTCGTGGTTGCAGAGATATAGCGATTTCAAATCGGGTCAATCTTTTTGAAACACCCTGTATACACAAGTGTATTTTTCCACTGCCATTTAAATCGCTACATGATGGGGGGGGGGGGGGGGGTGTGCGGGGGGAATCTCACGAGATGTTTATGCAACCAGCCCATTGCTTTCCCTCTGATGTGCAAATTACTCCTTTAACAATAACGGCTAACACATCATATTGGCGTATTAAATGTAAGTGGGCTTGGGCAGGGACACGTCTCTCAAAGGGATAATGGTCTGGTCGATACTAACAATGGAGTGGCAGCTCCGGGAGGGAACTCACCAGGCAGGAAGTACACTATTAAGCGGGATACACCATTGACACAGGTGTGAAGGTGATGCCAACATGATTGATTCATTATTGTTATATTATTGTCCACCGCGGTGATGGGGCGATGAAATCGGCTATTGTGCAGGTGTTCGGTGGATTTTTGCATCAAAGAATCGTGAGAGATTGCGGTGGCTTGGGCAAGTTTTGATCGTGCCTGATGACAATCAACAACGCAGGACCCCTCCAGAATGAGTGTCTTTTGAGACGCCTTGTGACCGTACGTGGGGCTGCCTTGCTTGACATGTTAGGCAGACAGATGCTCACAGCTCTCCGGAGGGAGAAGGCCTCCTGCTTGCACGCAGAATGTGGATGTCACGCTCGCTGCAGTGGTGCACGCGCTCCACCACAAAGGAGCCTGCCAGCATTTCCAGGAAGTCCTCGTCCCGCTGGTACCGGATCCGGCACGCCAGAAGCACCAGCGTCTCCGTGCCTAAGGGGGAGGCACGGGTGCAATCGAGACGAGTCACAGGCGCAACAACGCTTTCTGCTACTGTTGTGCTTGCGTTTTATGACTGCTGAATGGTGTGCGACCTTTAGCACCGCTGATGTGCATGCATGCCCAACGTTGACGCTAAAAATAAGCAACGCAACAGAGGTGGCAGAGTTTGTCCAGAGCGTTGAACCAGCACTGCTGAGAAACTGGATTAAAATCTGGGTTTTAGCCACCTATGCTCGAACTATATTGTCAAGTAAAAGCGTTTAATGGTTGCAGCGTGTACACGAATAACAGCGCAAAGAAAAATAGATTTTGTTTTTCACAATTCAGCATTCTAGCCATGAGAAAAAATCCAGATGAGCACGTGGTGAACACTTAGCAGGATGTTCAGTCTGTGTATCTTCAGTATGGATAAAGCGGTGCTCCTGTTGTGATCGTAGACGTCGTATAGCTACTTCATCTCCTGGGGCAGTTCTGTGGCAACGAGCTAATGGTGACATGGCCAATCGGTAGCTTGTTTGCCCCCTTGTTATCGAAGTTCGTGTTTGAGACCAGTGGCTGCCCTGGTTCATAGTCCGGATGCAACGACAGAAAACGTACCCACCATCTGCTTCACCATGGACGTTAAAGGTTCCTGAGGTTATTCAAAAGAAGAGGAGGCCATGTGGGCCGGTGTCATTGTCCAAATTGACCAAACTTGAAAGTGACAAGTTGCCTTATTGGGTACAGTCACATAGCAACTACCACGGACTATAATCGTGAGTGAAACATTGCGCCGATGTGATGCGATAGCATTGTGCCATCACAAGAATGGCACTCTCCGCCTCACCGTGGGGACAAAGGTGGTGCAGCGTCGCGAGCAGTGCCGGGAAGGTGTCCCGCACATATACGATGTCGGCACCCAGCACGAGCTCGTGCTCGCCCGGGGCCCAGGCGCCGAGGCCCTCGCCCCACGAGAGCTCCCGCACGGCCACGCGACTCCGCTCGCCTGCGGCCAGGTTGGCGTCCACGTTCTCCTGGATGAAGGCGAGCACGGGCGCACGGTCCGTGATGCTCACTGACGCTGCTCCTTGGTCGGTAGAGGTGGCAAGGGAGCATGAAGAAGAAACGACTGAAAAGTACGGCGTACGGTTTTTTTTGTTGTTGCCGTGGTGCTGTTAGAGCTCTTCGATGTTGGGCCGGTCTTCACAACGGGCAACGCGCGGCACAGCCCCAAAAACATCCGAGAGCTGTACCACTGAAAGCTGTTTCAGTTGCAGAAATCCCGATTGCTATCCCACTGGATGTGGTCAGATCACTGCGCCAGCACCTCTAAGTACAGAAATTAATATCTGGGTTTTGGCTACCCAACCCATGATTTAACTGGGTTCTCAGGTGTGAGTGTTGATTGTCTCAGCCAGGTCATCAATGATTGTACAAAAAATGATAACAGGGTCCTGCTTAGAAAGTTTGGTCAGTTTTTTAAAATGTTTTGAGTGGGAGGACAGCCGGACTGTCCAGAGAAAACCAACCCATATATAAGTACGAGCACTAATGTAACAATATTGTTATAGCCAGTCATGCTTGTCGTCGGCAAACAAAGCTTTTATGAGTGCGTGTGGTCTGAGCTAAGGGACCTAAAGCCACTGTGCACCACACGTGACTGCTTTACAAGGGACAATCGTTGCTCATTGGTATCTATGGCAGACCAAGAGGTTGCCGTGGGTTTTATTCCATCACACAAAGCCTCATGCCATCATTTATAAAAACACTTCATCATATGCATCACCTTCATTATTCTCTGGACGCAAGAGCTTATTGATCTATCCCGTCTTGTTTGCAAGGGAGACATCATTAATCAGAATTTTAATGGAACCAAAATGAGAGCTCCAATAGAAAGCTGCTGTGGATGGTTGTTGGCGGTGGTCATGGTGCTAATTGAGAGCCACGGGCACCTGAGCCCTACCGAGAAGTGCCGCTACAATTCCCACCAGCCCCGTTCCAGCGCCCAGCTCCAGGACACGTTTTCCCTTCACCTCCACCGCGCCGAGCTCAAGGTACGTGGCCAGAACCACAGCCTGTAGTGACATACGACAGCAAACACCACCACCGATTGCATTTGGCTGGAAGGAAATACAATAATAAAAAGCGAGAACTTGCTTGGGGGAATGGGGGGCCCCCCACTCACGGCGTCCCAGACCACGGCAGCCACGCCAAGCCTGCCCCAGTCCTGCCGCAGGGAGAGGTCTCGCCCCGCGAATCTCAGCGCCACCGACGGCTCGTGGAAACGGCGAAAGACCGGGGGAATTGCGTCCTCGTACACCACCAACGCCATCGTTCCGCAAAAAGCAGCGACACGGAGCCAAGTGCGCCTTTTACAAAACGGCACTGCCACTTCAGGGCTGGTGACAGCAGAAACAAATACCAAAACAACGATTAATACATTGAATCTTGATTTGAAGCTTTCGTGACTGCAGGAATCCATACATTATTTATTTTATACCTACGTGACTTTACCGAAAGAACCAAAGAATAAGGATTAATACATTCCCTAAGACTTCAACAGAATTCTCTTTTAGGATCTTTAGTCAATACATTGTAACAAAAAAATCGGTGTGGAGCCTATACGCTGTTACTACCTCCAGACCCGAGCAGTAGAGACCGCAAGAGATCTCCACAAACCCCGAGGCACTGTGACGTCCTCCAGATAGATCATGTGTGTACCATTGGTCCTACCTACTCGTGGCTGTATTACAGGTGTGTGTGTCTGTGGCACACAAGTCAGGTGTGATGCATTATCACGTAAAGAATGTCAAATATCTCGTGTTTGGAAAGCTCCTTAGTTGATGAATGATAACTAAACCAACCCACGACTGCGGATGTTTCCACATCCTTTACATTACAGGGGTCCCCCACCGCCGGGTCGCGGACCGATAGCGGTCCGTGGCCTGTTCGGAACAGGGCCGCACAGCAGGAGGAGAGCGGTGAGTCCGCACGTGGCCCGCCCATTATTTTATTATTTAGCACTTCCGTCCGCGCCTCTTTCCCGCCCTGGGCACTTGTCTCAGTCACAGTTTTGCCTAAGCGCACAAGCTAACCCCTAGTAGCCAAAATGAGTAACAAACAAACGTGGCTGGAGAGCTTCTTTGAAAAGGGGGAAAGACCCAATGATGAACTACCCCCCCACCCCCGGTCCGTGAAAAAATTGTCTTCCACGAAACCGGTCCCTGGTGCCAAAAAGGTTGTGGAGCGCTGCAAGTTTACAAGACGTTCACACTGGCAAGGGCTCCACCTGCAGGAAATGGAAACAATCTCCTTGATTAAGTAGAGACGCAAGGAATGAGCGATTCCAAAACAATGGGAGTGTTTCCTCCCCATCACCACCAAACCTGTTATGTAACAGCATGATGGTCAGAGGATGTCCAATCGGCAATGGTTTAATTAAACTTGTAAATGGAACGGGTTGTTTTGGGTCTCGCCACTGAAAACGGCCACCATGGCTTCACCAGTTTTGGGGAAAGGAAGAGTCTGCATTTACAAGGTAGGACACGAAAAAACAAAATAATTTGCTGTTGCCACTACATGAATCACTCTGTCACTGCTAAGGCTGTTGAATTGTTAGGACTTAAATTGCAACTCTCAGTGGTTTGGAATCGTTGTAACCGTGTTACTGCTTCCAAGCGTACACGTGAATACAGGGTGATCCATTTATAGCTACCGCAATAAAACTACAGAATTCATAGAGAAAACGGCAATCTCATTCCAAGCTTTAAAAAATCTTCCAACATTCCTTATACACTTAGTACGCGTCTTTACGCTCTCCTGGTACACTTTGTCTAGCATAGCCACTACGATTTGCTTGCAAAATTCGATAATATATAAGCCGAGGTCACTGATGTCTCAGTGGGACATCTATAAATCCGGTATATTTCGGACGTTGTACGTTGGGACCTGTCGTTAATTAATCATTATCAGCGATGATCAATCAACTGCTGGATGAATGCATGTGTGCAAGCCGTCACTTTTCCACAAGGTCCCGCGCAATATTACAATACACCTGGCACCCTGCACACAAGCCGATTTCATTGCTCCGTCTCTGCAGCAGACGTTTACTGATTTGGGAACTGTGCACGAATACATCTGATGACTGATACTGATTATTACATTGCCCGGTCCTCGCAGAGGCTAGCAAATGAACTCTGTTTAACACGGAGGCTTTCGCAAATCCACCCACCACCACCGCCACCCACCACCGCCACCTACCCACCACCACCGCCACCCTCCACCACCGCCACCCGCCCACCCTCCACCACCACCGCCACCCGCCCACCCTCCACCACCTGCCCACCCACCACCACCGCCACCCACCCACCCTCCACCGCCACCCACCCACCACCACCACCGCCACCCACCACCACCACCGCCATCCACCCACCACCGCCACTCACCCATCGACCCACCGCCACTCAATCACCCACCCAACACCGCCACCCACCCACCCAACACCGCCACCCACCCATCCACAACCACCACCCATCCACAACCACCACCCACCCACCACCACCACCCACCCACCCACCACATCCACCACCACCGCCACCCACCCACCACCGCCACCCACCACCACCGCCACCCACCCACCACCACCGCCACCCACCCACCACCACCGCCACCCGCCCACCCTCCACCACCGCCACCCGCCAACCCTCCACCACCGCCACCCGCCCACCCTCCACCACCGCCACCCGCCCACCACCACCACCGCCACCTACCCGCCACCCACCACCGCCTTCCACCCACCACCGCCACTCACCCATCGACCCACCGCCACTCAATCACCCACCCAACACCGCCACCCATCCATCACCACCACCGACCCATCCACAACCACCACCCATCCACCCACCACCGCCACCCATCCACCACCGCCACCCATCCACCACCCACCACATCCACCCACCCACCCACCACATCCATCCACCCACCCACCACATCCACCCACCCACCACATCCACCCACCCACCGCATCCACCCACCCACCACATCCACCACCCACCACCACATCCACCACCCACCACCACAACATCCACCACCACCCACCATCACCGGTCTCGTTACAAAAAGTCCACGATCATCGCAGCCGGAGTGCGAATGCGCCTCGAGGTGGGCTGCGCGCCTCTCTGCGCTAAACCGGTTTTCGTGCCCCTCCCAGACAAGCGGCGGCTTGCAAAACCGAGGGCGCGCGCAGTTTGACAAACGACATTATCCATGTTTTTTTTTGTTTAGATGGCATAAATATAAATGTGTCGTTAAACCGGCCAACCACCCGACACAGCCAATTTACTAAGGTTTGTCACGTAAACAGAACGTGCCAATTCGTTACTCGTGCAGCACACATCGGTGTGTTGGAGAGCAAATCCATAACATTTACAGTCTGAGTACGACGTTTCGCCAGCAATTACAACGGGCATCATCAAGCGGAGAGTTTGGCAGCGGTGGTGGCGACGACTGATCAGTAATGGCAACGATTGGCGCGCGCCAGGTAGACTTGATGCCCAGAGTGGGCTAACTACTGGATGTCTGTGGGAAAAAAAACAGCATTTTATCTAATCGGATTCCTCTAGTATAAATACATATTCTGATAACTAATGTTGATAGGGTTTTTTTTTTAAGTGGAGCCGAGTTATGGTTTTGAATTCAGGTTAATCCACCCTTCTTTGATTTAAACATCGCAACAGTTGCTATTATTTATGGGATTTCCCATTCAGATGTTGTACCCACTGAATGCAGTACACCCAAGTAACGAGGTAGTACACCTTTATAACCAGGTAAAAGGCCATTAATACCATTAATCTATTTTTTATTGGAGACCCAGCTTTACATAAGTACACCGACAATGACAGATTCCACGTGTATACACAAAAACAGGTTTTGCCATATAAATTTTAGCAAGAACATTTTTGTTCGTCCAGAGTTTTTCGTGGGGGTATACTTATAGATGTAAAACATGTCAATGCATTCATTGCTGAGCTATCCTATTCAAGGGGATGATTACCCTTTTTTCCTCCCCTTTAAAATAAATCTTGCAGAGTCCAATTAGGACGAAGGGTTGGGCCAATGTCCTCGTTGTCAAAACATGCTGATGTCTAAATGATAACAGTGGCGGGGCGAGTGGTCAAGGCGACATTTCTGGGTAATTTTGTTTAGATGTAAATCTGTCATTGGATGTTTCTTTTAAATTGTTGAAGCCAAAAGGCTTTTTGTTGTTTTACTAGTTCAACACCCAAACGAGACGGAGAAACTGGACAAATGGGGACTCGAACAGAAATACGCCATGGTGAGAGGGTTTATGTGGTGGCACTATTTGCCAATGGTCGTGATAACCTATGGATATTGCCCTCATTAAATCAAGGTATTTTCCCTTTATTATGTAACATTGTATTCGTTGAGAGCTGGCAATGCAGTCGTTGACCAATGCACACATTTCACTGTTAATGATCAGCCTGAGAGTCATTGTGGTCATAGCGTTCCAGGCTTAACTCTCAAGGTCTGCAAATTCAAATACCAGTAAGGGTTCAGCTCTGCCCATCAGCCTGAGGTTGATAAAATCAGTACCACTTCATGGGAATTCAACAGTAGTTGGTTCTTTGGATGTACTCAGCCCTGCAACATTTTTTTTGCAATTTCCGCCATTGACTTGTGGATGTAGTGGACATCTAACGAATAATGGGTTTATGAAATAAAATATATTACTGGTCACAAAGGCATGTGTTGAGCTCTTCGACTCGTACACAATACGTGGCGTTAGATTCAAGGCAACGGTGTAGCCACCACAGTATATCCTATTCCACATGCCTCACAATGTCAAGAGGATTCTATTGAATAAAAAGCGTGCGCTTGATTTGAACAAATGAACCTCATAGCGAGAGCCGGGGTATCATAGTACCCCGGCTCTCGCACAATGTCCGTGATGCAGTCATCTTTTAGTCTGTTGATGGTCGGCAATGCGGCAATCGACTCATCTCGACGAGCTGTACACGATGCACTATTCAAAGTTTAAAGTCTCCTGTACAACTGTTAAATGATGGGTGCTTCATCGGTCAGGGAGCTAAGCCAGAACCACTGGGATATAGGTTTTAATCTTGGTTACAGCCACTTGTGATTTAACTGGGTTCTCAACTGCATTTCATGGTCTAAGCCCAGTCACCAATGACTATGTATTAAAGATTTCAGGTAAAATGTTCAATCTAATTTGGCTGAATAGCAGATCTGTCATGAGAAAAACTATCTCATGGCTGCGCACACACCCATACACAAAACACATTAATTTGGTTTCCACTTACTTTGGCTATATTCCAGCATTGAAAGCTTAAACATCTCGTTTGACTTTCATGGGAAAAAAAAGTCATCGCAGGGTGCAACGGAGAGTTGGACGACGAGTTTGTGAGACATCCTGCATAAAATAATCATTGTACTGTGAGACTTCCACATGGCTTCTTCGTCTCATCATACGGCGCTACAACTTTGAAATAAATTGGACAGAACAAAAGATCCCTTTTTTTTTAAATCCGTTTCACACGCACAGTTTATGACAAACAGGCTCAGTGAGCCTCACTCATCTTTCAAAGGGCATTTAGCGATACTCTTGCAACACGGTATCCCACAGTACAGCCGAACAAAATCGCTATCCTCGGGGGTGTAACGATTTACTCTTCTCCCCGAAAAAAAAGTGTCCCAGAAATAAAATCTTTAATTGCCTTTTTGTATTCTTTGGTACCCCGGGGTATTGCCAAAATGATCAAATCGCCTATCGTGGAGTGTGAATTGTTACATACCTAGTGTAGGGGTTAATACTTGTTAGGTAGGGAATCATTATTTATTCATTCGCTTCCCCTTGCAAATCTACGAAGTCACGATTATAAACCGCGGTTTGATTCAGGATGTTTTTTTTACCATTTCGGTGAATTAATCGAACTTCTTCTCGTGGCTGCAGGGGTTATTTCAACCAATTGTGTACTGTACGG